GACAACATCAACGGTCTTTAGTCTACTACACTATGGCAGGCTAATGCTGCGTTCACACCAGATGCGGAACGCGCGTCAAGCGCGAGTGATTTACATGTTAAGTCAATGCAAACGCGCGAATACTGTGGCGCGATACGCTCGGATGGCGTGGGGCGAATTGAGCGTTTTGCGCGTTTGACGCGCTTAACGAGCGTTTCGCGCGAATCTCTCGATTTCAAAAATCTGAACTTCATCATACCAATCAGAAGCTTGCTCTTGTGTGGGCGTGATTGTGACGCAGAACCTGTTGTCGGTGTTCCAAGGGAAATCCTCCAGCCTTCACCGACAACAGTTCATCAAACTGGGCTTGGCTCAGTCAGAAGCACCTCTGAAAGCCTCCGTCATCCAGGTACAGTTTCTGGAGGAGTTTAAGAGCTTACAGAGCTGCTGCACCTCTGAAAGCATGTAGTGGACTCAGACACGACCCTAAACGTATCGACACTTTTCCAGTCTTCATAAAGCACATAAACACTGTTATTTTCTTCATAAAATCCATGTTAGCCTTTTAGCTATGAAGCTTGAGTCTTCGGGCAGACAGAAGCCCTGCCCATTACGCGAATCCGCGTCTGTTCTGATGTGAATTTTGACGCACGTATGAAGCGAGTAAACTCAAATGTTCACGCGGCTATTTATGCGCGAATATCGCGATTTATCCGCGCGTTCCGTGTCTGGTGTGAACACAGCATAATGGCTGTCGACGAGCTCTCTCAGAAATTGTAAATATTTCAAATAGGCACTATTCTTATAAATAAACTGCATAGTTGCAATCTAAACTACTACATTCTCCACTAAAATAGCCTCAAAAGTACATTATTTTGTTCAACAGCAGTAATATTTGTCAAACTGTAGAGTGTCTCTCTGCTTGTTGCTGGCTGTATGCGCGGAGTAATACACAAAGGGTAAAAAGGCTGTACGGTTGCTGATATTACTTAAATATCTCACGGCTATCAGCCTATCAGATTCGAGAATCAGACAGAACTGTTGTATAAATAAATATAGACAGTACATGTGTGTATCTATGATGTAAATATAGAAACTTTTATCTTGGATGCGATTAATTGTTTGACAGCACTAACACAGATAGAAAGAGATGTATGAGCTCTTACTGGCGGCGGGTGCTCGTTCCCCGTCCAGCGGCAGTGGTACCGCAGTGGCGTTCAGCTGTTTGACTCCCGGGTTCAGGTTGAGTAAAGAGAACGGACACAGAACTCCATCAGTGGAGAGCAGCAGCAGCGTCGGTGCAGCAGGAACCTTCTTCTCATCAGCTGAGGAGCACAGAACACACAGCACATCACTACACACACACACACACAAACAACAACTTCACAAAAAACCAGTGACAGCACTAAACACACACAGACACACCCTAAACACAACCACCACACACACAACTAGTGACCACACACACACAGCTCCTACACAGTTGAATGTCCTCCTGGCTGGTGTAATCGATGGCCACGCCCACAGGAAGAGTGTCCTCGCTGTTCTCCGTGACAGGAAGCTCCGCTCGACTGGCGTCTTCCAGCAGCCACAGCTCCCAGTTCACCTGCACATTGGTGGATCTGGCTTAAATATCCCTCATCTACAATCATTGTACTCATAATATTTAAACAATCAGTCATTTCTACTTTGATGTTAGTTTAAATTGTGCATTTTATTAGCTCAAGGTTTTATTTAAGAGCACAAATTAAACAAAATAACAAACTAAAACAAAATAAAACTAGAAATTGTTTCATTCTCACTTATTTCTGGTTTATTTTAAGCAATAATGATATATAAATATGTTAGCTGTGTGTTTAAGTCAGATTTATTTTAAGGTGTTTCAGTAATGAAGGGATTTTTAATGCTCTTTACTTTGATGTAATTGTGTGTAAAGTATATAAAGCCCCTCGTCACAGTCGGTGTGGGGTAACAGGAGATTTACCTTGTCCTCTTGTTTGGCGATGATGCTGACCTCAATAGCAGCAGCTGAAGCAGCCAAAACCAGATCCCTGCGCCGGACAACAACAGACCCATGTCAAAACTCAGAATCCTCATAATGTCTGTGTGTGTGTGTGTGTGTGTGTGTGTCTGTTTCTCACCAGTCCTCGATGTGGCACAGGTAATAATGGTGCTGTCTCTCAGTGCAGGTGCCGTACACCAGATCATTGAAGTTCAGGTAGCGCTCGTCTCTCTTCTCATCCTTTTTCTGACACACACACATACACAGACATGAACAAACACATACACATAAACAAACAAATGCACACACACAAACACATACAAATACATGCATAAACACACACGCATGCACACACACGCACACACAGAAATAAACTAAAACAAGCACAAAAACTCACACAAATACACAAACAACCACACACACATAAACAAACAAACACACAAACAACCACCCAACCACACACAAACAAACAAATAAATAAACACACAAACACCCACACACAAACAAAAACACAAACACCCACACACACACAAACACCCACACACAAACAG